GAACCCCCTATCAACTATAGACCCTGAACAACCTTTTGGTCACATGGAATGAAGAGAGTGAGCATAGTAACATAGTAAATACAAGGATGAACGAAGTGAAGCCTCATGGCAACTCGCGTCTGTCTCCTCAGGAATTATGAGCCACTTGGGCTTCCAAAAAAACAAGGGTAATCATACGATTCTTATCACCATGAGCTTCCTCAACCCAAAAACCCAAAAAAAAACCGACGAACGGGAATTCTCAAATTAAATCATTCAGAACTCCTCCAGAATAGTGAAGCAACCATGGACCTAAACGCAGCCCAAGCCACCTGCTTCAGGACGCAGACTGCACCAGCAGCGACGGCTCGTGGCGCGGCGGGTGCGCACGGGGTTTAGGGCTCCTGGCTGTTGTCTGGCTTTGCCCAAGATGCTTCTCGTGTTCTCTTGGCAGAATTCCCTCTTTGAAGCTCCGGGTCCTTGGAATAGCGGTGCGCTTGTAGCCAAAAGCTGAAAAATAAACCAGGGTACAGATCACCCCAAACCCTAAACCCTAACCCTAAACCCTAAACCCTAAACCCTAAACCCTAGTTCCATTGAACCAGGAGGCCTCCGATTATCAAGCCCTGGCAGCACAGAAAGATAACCGCTTGCTTGGGTAGTTCGGGTACGGCATCCTTAGAAGAAGGGCCCCAAAAAAGGGTTTAGAGTTTAGGGTTTGGGGTTTAAGGTTTAGGGTTTAGGGTTTAGGGTGTAGGGTGTAGGGTGTAGGGTTTAGGGCCCTAAACCCTAATTTAGAGAACTATCCACTTGCTTCGGGTTCAGGCACAGTGTGCTCGAGGAAAGAGTCGGCCTTGGCGGCCCAAAACCCACTGAGCACCACACGCACAGACACCCCGTAAACCCTGCAAACCCTACAACCCTCTAAACCCTCTAAACTCTCTGAAGCCTATAAACCCTATAAACCCGATAAACCCTATAAACCCTACAAACCCTACAAACGCTATAAACCCTTTAAACCCTATAAACCCTCTAGACTCTAAACCCTACAAACCGTAACACTGCTTCGGCAAGTTCCGGACGGGTCAGAAGTTCCTCAACGTATTGAAATGATTGCAAAGTTTTTTCTGGGTTCAACCCTGTATAGTAGTGTTTAGGACTTTGCTGGTGGCCAGGTTTGCTGACTTCCAGCTCAGCTTCGCTGTGGAGACTGTGACGTTGGCGGAAGTGATTGCCGCGCAGCAGCCTCAGAGAGCTTCTCCACCCTTTCCTTGCGACTCGACGCACTCCAAGCAGAAGGAAAGGGATCCCTTTCTGCTGACACTTGCGTGCTGAAGGCTTTGGGGCCTTGTGTTCTTCGGCGAAAGCAGACGTGTTGAACACAAGACCTGAAACTCCGTCCAGAGGTGGTCCATAAGAGCCAGCCATGCCTTGCAGAGCACACGAGCCATGAATGTAGGGGCACCGCCTACATACCCCCTAGGGAAATCCGTGCCTGAGTTAGGCAGCTTAGGTCACCTCATTGATGACCGAAGCCCCTCAACCAAAAACAAACAGTTTTTGTTGAGGGGATTTGGGGTTTTTTAGGGTTTAGGCTTGAGGGTCCTCAATCATGAGATATCATCAGGGAGTCGCGTTCTTATCTCTGCAGGTCCCCACCCCCCCCCCCCCCCCCCCCCCCCCCCCCCCCCCCCCCCCCCTTCAGATTCAGAGCCAGCCTAAGATCAACCGAAACCCTGAACCCTAAACCCCTAACCCTAAACCTGAAACCTGAAGCCCCAGGTTTGGGCTCAGCACCGTGGATTTTCTGAAGGCACGCGGCACGTGCGAGCACATGGATGGGCGGTTTAGGGTTTAGGGTTTCGGGTTTCGGGTTTCGGGTTTCTATTCTTTCCGAGTACAAGTATAGGTGCTGTGGGGGTTCTCTGAAAACTTCGGACGGTACAGCCTAGTCTTTCGAGTGCCGACAAACCCTCTCAACCCTCTAAGCCTCTAACCCTCTAAACCCCTCTAAGCCCTCTAAACCCTGTGAACCCAATAAAACCCTATAGGATTCTTAAGCCCTAAACCCCAAGCCCTAAACTCTGTGAACCCTATAAATCCTATAAACCTTAAGCCTAAACCCTATTCAGCCCCCGAGCACAGGTGGACTGCGAAGGATGCGAGTGGGACGTTTTCGCACCGCGCATCTGGGTCTGGGACTTAGGGAGCAGCTTAGGATGCAGGAAACTGGGGGTGGGGGGTTAGGGTTTCGGGTTTAGGCTTTAGGGTTTAGGGTTTAGGGTTGAGGTTCTAGGGTTTAGGGTTTAAGGTTTAGGGTTTAGGGTTTAGGGTTTAGGGTTTGGGGTTTGAGGTTTAGGGTTTAAGGGGCGTTCCCCAGCATGGGCCCCTGTTGGGAGGGACTTCTTAGAACAAGGGTTATGGTCCTTGGAGGTTTGTTCGGTACCTCTTTTTTTGGAAGTGCATATATGGATCACGCCTTGGATTCTTCAGAGCTTAGGATGAACTCCGGCCGTCTGAATCCCCAAAGCCTCGATTTAATGTATGTCCGAAGCTTTGAGCGTCTCAGGGCCCAAAGACCTGATTCCTGAGCTCTTGAGACATTTTTTTTCGGGTGTGTGGTCTTCATAAATTCTAGGTACCTTATTCATAGGGGTTCTAGCAGGGTGGATGATCCCGATCTTAGGTGCCCATGAACGGAACGCTTGCTAGCCTCGCCCAGGCTTCTGAGCTCCTGACGAAGTTGCTGAAGCCCTAAACCCTAAACCCGAAACCCTGAACCCTAAACCCTAAACCCTGAACCCTAAACCCTAAACCCTAAACCCTTGTGACCCTAAACCCTAAATTCACAATGGGCCTTGCGGCCATCTGGCTGAGGAGCGAGTTCGACGTCGCGTTCGTCACGCCGCCTGGCGTGGAGCCATCTTAGGGTCACAAGGGTTTAGGGTTTAGGGTTTAGGGTTTAGGGTTTAGGGTTTAGGGTTTAGGTGGTGAAGGAGGCAGACCCTAGGCCCGAGGCCTTTTAAGACTTAAATTAAATCCTATACCCGCAGCCCCAGCAGGGCTTAGGGTTAGGGTTTAGGGCTTAGGCTTAGGGCTTAGGGCTTAGGGCTTAGGGCTTAGGGCTTAGGGCTTAGGGCTTAGGGCTTAGGGCTTAGGGCTTAGGGCTTAGGGCTTAGGGTTTAGGGTTTAGGGTTTAGGGTTTAGGGTTTAGGTCTTAGGGTTTAGGAGGTCCTCCAGGACTTTTGGCTGGGAGACTTTTGGGGTCCAGAGACTGGCACTCCCGTGCCCAGGTCGCCACAGAGTTGCACGTGTGGGCACTGCCAGACAAAGCTTCTGAAGGCCGGGCCTCCGCGGTTTAGAGTTTAGGGTTCAGGGTTCAGGGTGCAGGGTTTCGGGTAGAGGCACTTAGTAGCCAGGTGGCCTTGAGCCTTCTTGGGGTACCGGTGGTACTAGGATTGGCCTGAAAATATCTTGATCCTTGTAGAAGGCTGGGCAAAGTAAGAAGGACTGCAAGCACAAGCAACCTCCCCCCTGTCCGGTACCCCTGTCCGGAAGATTCCGGAAGGCAGCCGGATTGATGGTCTCTAACGTTCGAAGAATCCGGGGTTTCGGATTCTTCTGCGAAACTTCTTGGCTGACCTTCCTGCTGCCATACGCAGGGGCGTTGAGTGCGCAAGCCCCCTATGCCCGAGGTCCCTAGAAACCGCCCTAGAGCCCTAAAGCCTTAAACCCCATAGACCCCAAACCCTGAGCCCTGAAGCCCCCTAAGCGCCCCTTGAACCGCTTTGTCCCCCCAAAGCCACGCGACCAAATCGCAAAGTCGCTGCCAGGCCTTGAAAGTGACGTGCGCAGGCTCGCGACTGGCCTGGTGGGTCTGATAAGCTCCCATCCAATCTTGTATGGGTTTACAGGGTTCTTAGGGTTCATGGGGTTTTTTGGGTTTCAGGGTTTTAGGGTTTAGAAGGGCTTGTAACGTTTAGGACTTATCGGGTTCTTCGGGTTCACAGGGTTTATAGGGTTCAAGGGTTCACAGGAGTTAATGGTGTTTATGGCTTATAGGGTTTTCCCTATGAGCCCTACAAACCCATATACTCTACAGAAAACAAGTCTTGATCGTGTTCTCACAGTTTTGGGTGACTCGCATCGTTTTCATTGGCTGAGGACGGTTGGGGGTGTGAATGCCTAATCTTGGGAAGTTTTTCCTGCGCAAAAAATCGTCCTCGTTTAAGGTTGAGCTTATTGCCCACACGTTGCCATGGAGTAAGGCGACCCAGGAGATACCAGAATGTGTGTAAGCGAAGGGGAGTCAGCTGTAGAGTAGCACCAGGCCTTCCTGGGGTGCAGTGGTAAGCCCCAAACTAGGCTAGGATGCCCAGCAGTGCTCTCATTATTTTTTGCCTTTCGAAGGGTTAGGATCTCAGAGAAGACAAGGCACCCTTTTTGTTCCTAGGCTACTGGGGAGCCAAGTGGCTGCTTCATTGGCTGTCTACATAGGGCTATAGGGTTCTGGGGTTATATGTCATAGGTTTATAGGGTTGTGGGGTATAGGCTTATAGGGGTGTAGGGTTCAGCGCCTTCAACCCTCAATCTGTCCCTGCCAGGGCGGTTTGCGAACGCCAGATTCTGCGAGAGAACATCCTCTGCTCGACCCCATGACAGTGGAAAAATAGAACATGAAGCCGTTTGGGAGGTGCAGGTGCCCTAAACCCGAAGCCAGGAAGGGGCCTGTTCGGTTCGGCTTCGGGCTTCGAATCTTCGGTTCGGTTCGCCATACGCGGTTCGTCGGTTCGCGCGGTTCGCGGAGGTTGATGAGAACGAGATGTCGTGGGGTTCCAAGTGCAACCATCATCCACTTTTGCATATGGAGGTGGGCTCGGGGGTAGGTCCACGGCAGAGCAATTCCATACCAATTTTCTGTTGGTTGTTGCTGTTGGGATACCTTAGGCCTCGAAAATGGCTGCGGGCACGTTGAACGTCCGGATTTCCATTTTCAAGTTCTGTTCCTGTTGTCCCAAAGGCAAGGTAGGGATTCTGCAAGCAACCATGGGGGGGGGGGGTTAGGCAGATATAAGTTAACGCAAACCAATCCGTCAGGAGCTTTCATTTCCAGTCTCCAGCAGTCCCTGCTCTTTATCTCGCTCAAGCAACTCAAAAATGGGCTCTGTTGAGCTCTTTTCTTGGCCCACTGGAGTGTTGTTGAACTCTTGGCCCCATCGGGATGGAGGACGTGGGCGGGGGGTGGAGGGTTTCAAAGTTCAAAAGTGCATTTTTGGAGTTTTTGCCGCCGAACACTCGACCTTGAACTCTTCGGGAAGGGGGGCGCCCTATAGGCCCTATTGACTGCCCTGAACCCTAAACCCATGGGAGTGTCCCGGGCCGAGTTCTGGTTCGCAGTTCGGTGATTGGCGGTTCGTGCGGTTCATTTGACCCGGTTCGTCGGTTCGCGGTTCGGTTCCTCCCTGTCCTGCAAACCCCAAGAACCCTAAACCCTGATTGCTTGCGGAGGTTACCTCCAAAAGCGCTGCAAACGCCAGACTGCCTAAAAGCGGACCCTAGACCCCCGAAGCCCTCCCGAACCCCCCCCGAAGCCCCCTGCAACCCCCTAAACCGCAAACCTAAGCCCACTACAAACCCACTTACTGCAGCTAATTGACCGTAAGCCCAGCCCTTTATCCCCTTTTATGGGGGGGGGCTTCCTAGCATGGGTCTAGAATTTAGGGTTTTGGGGTGTCCCGCGTGGAGACCTGGCCATGCAAGTTTGGTGCACCCGGAATCTGCCACCCTGACCCCCGAACTAAACCCTAACCCCTAACCCCTAACCCCTAACCCCTAAACCCTAAACCCTAAACCCTAAACCCTAAACCCTAAACCCTAAACCCTAAACCCTAAACCCTAAACCCTAAACCGATCCCCCCCACCCCCCCCCCGCCCCCCCCAATGTTTTGTTTCAACACTATCCCCATTCCCTCATGATTCCCCGCGGCTCCCTGTTGCACGGCACAAGTCGTGATCTGCGCTCCGCAGCGCAGCCGTCATGCCGAGTCAGGAGAGGGACTAGAAATATCCGTGGTGCGGCAACCTAAACCCTAAACCCTAAACCCTAAGCCCACATTTCGCAGCTGAAGCCTCCGCATCTCCGGCCCTTGACAACTCTGCAAGTCTGCCCCACACACCCGCAGGGCTCTTGGATGAGGATGCCCAGTGAGAACCTCATTCTACTTGTATTGCACGGGCACTTCTCAACCCCCGTGAACCCTGACCCGCCGAATCCTCAGAGCCGGATCCCTATAAGCCCCGTTTCGCATCTAGCGCGGCCCATAGAGAACTTCCAGAGAGGGCCATGAGCTTCGGCAAGGCGGCGCGAACCGCTCACATTGGCTTCTGGGCCGTTGAGAGCTGGTGCGAACAAGAATGTAACTTAAGAAGCCTACGGTTAAATGTGGATGTCAGTGTGACAGAGTTCCGATTTATGTGCAGAGTCTGCAATTCTGGGAGGGCCCATATTTAAGATCCAATCCTAAACCCTAAACTTACTGGCTCTGAGTAAGGAACAAGGGAATTCGGTACCCTATACTACCCGCAATGGCCTTGAAGTCACCGGGATGTTTCTCGATCCCTCGAAGTACCCCCGACTAAGCTAAACGGCGGCCCTTTTCGAGGGGTACTTGGGAGGTGTTTCTCAGGGCTTGAGCTGCAGCTTCTTTAGCCAACCGCGCGGCTCAGGCTTGTTCCTACCTGGGGAAGAGCGCCAGAGGCACCCGCGTCGAAGGCACCAGCTGTCAACACTCTCCAGGGCCCTAAACCCTAAACCCTAAACCCTAAACCCTAAACCCTAAACCCTAAACCCTAAACCCTAAACCCTAAACCCTAAACCCTAAACCCTAAACCCTAAAAACCCTAGACCCTAAACCCTGCTTGGACTGTCTTCGTGTTTAGGTTACGTCGTATGGGTTTTCAGATCGATTCTGGGGTCACTTGTCTTTCGCTCCCTTTAGTATCAAGGACATTTTAGGAAGGATCTGTACATGGGATATCCACTAATCATCGAACCTCTTGTAACGCACTTATCGTAACTTGCAACCCCTTTGTTCCCTTGTGTTACCTGCCAAGAGGCCTGCAGTTGCAACTGTGCTGACGGCACGGCACCCCTCACATGTGCTTCATATTGCACATGAGAGTCTTCTTGCTCTGATAGGTTTCTTTCTATTTGCAATTTTGTTCTCGCGCAGCCCTTAGCAGTAGGTGTTGATGAGAGCTTTTCATGTGCAGTCTTTTGGTAGCTTAGCTCTTTTCACCGACTGCACGGTGTCAGATTTCTCTAGGCAAGCTTGGCTGTCGCACAGCCATGTTCGGCCCATTTGTTTTACTATCTCTTTGAATGCTTTGTTAGTTGTACGCTGTGTTCGCCTGAAAGTAAGATAACAGACTGCATCAATGGTTGAGGGTTGAATTTTGAGGGTTCTGGGGGTTGTGTTTACCAAGAATGGGTTTTCTGAGCTGGTGAGGCACGACGACACTGTCGCCGATCTGTTGAAGACCCGCGAGGCGGAACCCTAAACGCACGTTCCAGATGGGCAGTTCTCTAAATTCGGGTCCCTTTTTGGGTCCTCATAAAAAGGGCGCCGTACGACATAGGGGGTCCCAAAAAGAGACCCAAACTCAGAGAACTACCCAGGTATTCTGTTCAAGCCGCCTGGGCTCGTGCGCAGCCTCTGCGATTCTTCTGCACTGTAGGCTCAAGAACGCGAATCGTTACTATCTCCTCTTTTGAGCAAGCGCTTGAAAATTTTCCGTGGCCATGGCTGTCTCGGCAAGGAGGCTGGCTTTCGGCTTCGCACTGGCAATCCGGATGGGACAAAGCCACTAAAAACCGGAAGTAGGCCCCTTTTCCTTTTTTAGGGTTGGGGTTCCCTTATAATCCCCTTAAAACCAAGAAAGGGGCGCCCTTTTTATTCCTAGGCTACTCCCGGGTCTAGGCCAAGACAGCTGGGAGCAGCGCACTCTGAGTCGAGATGACGAGTGCGACAGCGACTTGGTCGCCCAGGGGTATACCCTTTACCCCTTATTTTTTGGTTCAGGGGCTCGCTTATAAAATAGCCAACCCCAAAAAAGGGGGTGCCCTCATTATGAGATGGTTTCTGGGCTACCAGACCAAGGCGAAGAGTGTGCGGTCTCCGAGTTGCAACTCAACGCGCGGGCAAAGGCGATCTTGAACACCTCCCACTGGAGCATGGGCCCCCCAAGCACGCCCTTCCAGTACAACGGCATCGAGTGGCCGGCTTTGAGGTTGGGCCGTACCGGGGAGGCCCACTTCTTCGCCATCGGCGACTGGGGCGGCATGGACGGAGCGCTGCACCCCCCAAATGAGTGCATTCCGCAGCATGCAACCCCAGGGTGCCGGCCGCGGATCATCGCCTACAAGGGTGGCCAGACTCCGGGTCCTCACGTCTTCCCACGCACGCGGTGGAACAAGCAACATTCCGAGCTCCTCTGCTCCCACGACCAGTTTGTGGCCTGCTTCTTAGTAGCCCAGTGGTACCCTTTACCCTTTTTTTTTTGGGTTCTCGGTTCCCTTATAAAGTAACCAACCCAAAAAAAGGGTGCCCTTATCATAATATGGTTGCTGGGCTACTAAGGTTTCGATGGGGGAGAGCACAAGGGCGAGCACTGCGTGCCGGGCTGTGGCTTTGTGCCAGGCGTAGATACGCAGCCACAGATCCTGGTTGCGAATGCCTTCAGGGCACGGGCCTCCAAGGCGAATCCGGACTTTATCCTCAACGTGGGCGACAACTTCTACTGGGGTGGCATCGAGGAGAATTGCGGTGCCTCCATGCACGGCATTACCTCAACGACTCGGCATCAGTTCGACTCCATCTTCGAGGGCATCTACCAGGGTGCCGGCCTCAGCAACAAGCCCTGGATCAGCGTCCTGGGCAACCACGACTGGGGAGGGCGGCAGTTCAACAACGGCTGGGACCAGCAGATTGCGTACACTTGGGCCAGCAACCGATGGATCATGCCAGCACCATACTACAGCATGCGAGTCGAGTACCCCGGCTTCTCCATTGACATCTTCGCCATCGACAGCAATGCCATGGATGCTAGGTCCCCAGAGGAGGATCCGGAGCACAACCTCTGCGGTGCCAAGCACAACCCCCCCGGGGCCTCTTGTGCATCCATCGGTGGCCCGGCGAATGTGCAGTCTTGCCACAGCTGGTTTCAACAGCTCCTCGGTAGCCCGGTGGTGCCCTTTTGCTGCCTTTTTAAAGGGTTCTGGGATCCCTTTATTCAACGTAGCCAACCTAAGAAGAGGGTACCCTTGGACTGTAACATGGCTACTGTATTACTGGCTGCCAAGGTTCTGGGGGAAGAACAAGGAGTGGGCCCTGAGAAAGGTGCCCCAGTCAAATGCAGACTGGCAGATCGGCCTGACTCACTTCCCCTGCGGCCACGAGAGCGGCTTCTTACCTTGAGCCCTTTGAGTCCTCCAGTTGGTTCATAGGGTTTAGGGTTCAGAGTTTAGGGTAGGGGGACGGAAGAGTAGTCCCAACTCATAATCTATTTTAGTGAGGTTTCAGTCTGTAGGCCCCATCCCCCCTCCCCCCTTCCTTCTCTCCACAGGCTTCTATGCCCAGTTGCACGGCATGGGGATGGACCTCTTGGTCACCGGCCATCGGCACGACCAGGAGCTTCACGACCACTCCGGGCCTGGGGGCATGACCTGCATCGTGACAGGCGCCCATACATGAAGCCGAAAAAGGGTTGTTGGTTCATGAGTGCCTGACAACGGATCTCAGTGTGTATGTAGGTAATCTTAGGTATATATATATATATATATATACATTTATGTGTATATATATATATATATATGCTACCCCCCCCCCCCTCAAAACCCACGTCTTACTATGTTTTCCTATCGTACACTCTGAAAACCTCTCCCCAGAGACCCAGAATTCCAGAATTCCAGATTTTCTGAGACCCCTAATTCCAGAATTCCAGAATTCCAGATTTTTCAGAGGCCCCCAGTTCCAGAATTCCAGAATCTGGAATTCTGGAACTGGGGGCCCCTGAAAAATCTGGAATTCTGGAATTCTGGAATTCTAAATTCGGAGAGCCGAGAATAAGGTGACATTAATGACATTTTGAAATTAGAGACAGAAAATTAGAGTCTTATTAATCTTACCCATTAAATTTTATAGGGTTCCTTATTACTTTCTAGGCTTCCGACTAAATGAATTAAATATTACTCCTGTTCACTTTAATGGGAGTTCTTATTAGCCCCCAGTTCCAGAATTCCAGAATTCCAGAATTCCAGAATTCCAGCATCTGGAATTCTGGAACTGGGGGCCCCTGAAAAATCTGGAATTCTGGAATTCTGGAATTCTGGAATTCTGGAATTCTAAATTCGGAGAGCCGAGAATAAGGTGACATTAGTGACATTTTGAAATTAGAGACAGAAAATTAGAGTCTTATTAATCTTACCCATTAAATTTTGTAGGGTTCCTTACTACTTACTAGGCTTCCTATCAACATTAAATATTACTCCTGTTCACTTTAATGGGGGTTTTTCGAGAAAAAGGTGACAGTTTAAAATTAGAGACGGAAAATATGAGTCTTGTGAATCTTACTCATTAAGTTTCCCATTACATTTACTAATACTCCAGTTCACTCTAATGGGGGTTGTTATTAAATTAATAGGGTTCCGAGTAATTTTACTAGCATTCAAATTGTTTTTGAATAGGATTCCTGTAGTTGGTTAACGGGGTTCGTATTAAATTCTAAAGGATGCCTATTAAAGGGTGCCTATTAATTTGTTCGATTTGATATTGATTCCTATTCATTTTTATCAGATTCCAAGTAGTGTTAAAAGGATTCTTAGTAGCTTTCTTATTTCTGGTAATTTGAATAGAAAGTCTAAAAATTTTAATAAGCTTCATAACAAATTTTAGACACATCCCTATGATGTTAGTAGGCTTCTTATTCAATTTAACAAGATTTCGTACAATTGTTAATTGGACCCTTTTTGCTTTGACAAGCTTCCTACTCATTTACATAGGTTCCTGATTAATTTGAATAGGCTTCGTATTCATTTTAACAGGGTTTCTCATTCATGTGAATGGATTCCTAATAATTTTCATAGGATTCCTACTAGATTCAACAGTGCTCCTACTATTTTTTGAATATTGTTCCCTATTCATTTCAATTGGCCTCGAAGTATTTCTATTGTAATTCTTAATAATTTTCATTTTAATAGGGTTCATTGCAATTTTATCAGTGCGACTCTTTTTGTTTTAAAGGGCCCACGTTACTCCTTTATAGGTTTTAACAGCACTCCTGTGAATTCAAAAGGGTTCCTATTCATTTCAATGGGATGAATCCTCTGAATTTGGGACTCCAAGAAATTTTAATAGGAGTCCTAGTAATTTAATAAGCTTCTACATATTTAAACCAGATTCCTATTACTTGTACGTATTGAGATTCCTATTGAATTCATACGAACCCTATGAATCCGATTAAATTTAATACGAACCCAAGTAAAACTAACAGCAGTCTTATTTTTATTCATAGCAATCCACGATCTCTCGATCAATTTTTTCAGGTCACTTCTGTTTGAGCACTCGCTCGAGCAATTGCTGAGTGGACCTAACTATAATCAATTACATTAGACAAATTAATGAAATTGAGTAAAATATCTAATGAATTACTAAAACGCTACCATGACCAAACCGGGAGGCCGATCTGTCGGACTTCAGGGAAGAGCATATGGAAGCGTGGGTTTTGGGGGGGGGGGTACCATATATATATATATATACATATCCCAATAGGGTTATAGTAGCATCGGGTTCAGACCCCCAAAAAGGATCATACTGTAGCAGAAAAGGGTATGTGACCCTTTTAGGGTTCCTGTCCCCAAAGGCGGTGGCGGCGGGATCACCAGCGAGGCTACGCCGAACCCAGCTGACAGGACGCACTGGTATGGCGAGGGTCAGTGCCTACGCTATGCTGAGGGAAGGGTTCAGGGTTCAGGGCTCAGGGTTCAGGGTTCAGGGTTTAGGGTTCAGGGTTTAGGGTCTAGGGGTTTTGGAAGACTTCTTCAGGTCGGAACGTGGAACCAGGGCCCAAGAGACGCTGTTTCCCCTGCAGAGGGCTGCCACTGCGAGGGGTTTTCACTGCAAGAGCCAAGGTACGGCTTCTATGATTTTACCGTCTCCAAGGACAAGATCTTCATTGAGTCCATCAACTATGATGGAGTCTTCCCACTTCTTAGCACTACAGGGTTTAGGGTTTAGGGTTTGGGGTTTAGGGCTTTAGGGCTTAGGGTTCAGGGTTTGGGGTTTAGCAATACTGTGTGCTTTTGTTCAACTTGTTGCTGTCTCAGCCTAATCAGCCACTTCCTGGGGAAGACGGGGTCTGCCTATATCAGAGTACGTAAGACCTTTATGTTCATTGCCGTCCCAGCGCCTCCGCAGCTCCAAGGAAAGGTCCTGAAGACCGCAACCGTTCATCCAAGCCGCTGACTTCGGCTTTCTCGAAGCCGATGACACTCCTGCAAAGCAGTTTCAATGTCGTACTTGGAAGCCCTTTTGACTTCGTAAGTCTACTTACTATCCCCGCGTAGAATCCCCATAACCCAATTTTCTCACCCTACTTACTAAGTCAAAAGGGCTTCCAAGTAGTGTCTCCGGTCCATCAACTCCACCCCCCTTTCCGCCCGCCGCGGCAGTGGCCTAGAAAAGCCGATGACGATGTGCTCCAGTGATCACCGGGCTCTGTGCTTGTGAGCAAAGCTCTCAAGAACCTTGAACGCAAAACCCTAACCGTAAACCCGAAACCCTAAACCCCAAACCCCAAACCCTAAACCCTAAACCCTAAACCCTAAACCCTAAACCCCACCCCCCCCCCCCTACCTACACGTCCTTGCAGGCGCACTCCGGAAGTGGCAGCTTCGTAGCGCCAGCACCTCCATCGCCGGAACCCCTGGGGCCGGCACCGGCGCGGGCTGTGACGCAGGAGAGATCTAGAGCCGGTTTAGGGTTTAGGGCCTATAGGGTTTAGGGCCTATAGGGTTTAGGGTTTAGGGCCTATAGGGTTTAGAGTTTAGGGTTTAGGGTTTAGGTTTACGGTTTAGGGTTGAGGGTTGAGGGTTGAGGGTTGAGGGTTGAGGGCCTTTAGGGCTTAGGAGTTTTTGTAGGGTTTGGGGTCTATAGTGTTTAGGGCAAGTTTAAGGTCTGTATAGGGTTTAGGGTTTGGGGGGTTCAGGGTTTGTAGGGTTTTGGGTTTATAGGTTTCAGGGTTTCAGAAGGCTCGGATCTTTTTTGGAAGGGCTTCCAGCTTTGTCTTTGTTCGTGCATTGACGGCAGTTCGGGCTTCAGCCTGAGGGAACTCCAGGGTTCTACAGGGGTTCGGGGGTTGAGGTCTTAAGGTGTTGGTATCAAGAGGGGGCCACAATCTTAAAGCTCCCCTTACTAGGGGTTACGCGTTTCAGGGGATGTTGGGGCCGGCATGGTACTTCGGAGGTCGTCTCTCGAGCCTTTCAAGTTTTTTTTCTCAAGCAGCAAGACCCCTCAAACTGCAGAATGGGTCCGGGCTTTCAATTCCTAAACCCTGAGCTCTGCACCCTGCCTGAACCCCAAAGCCCTCTTTCTTGTCGGTTACCAAAAAAATAGGTTTTGGGTTCCCATATGGTATACAACCCCAAAACCTACACCCTAAACCTAAAACCTCAAAAGTCTGTGCAGGAGCTCAGGCGGCGCATGGCAGAAATGAAGGCGCGAGCTGCCATCACCAGGGTTTAGGGTCCAGGGTCCAGGGTCTAGGGTTTAGGGTTTAGGTTTAGGGTTTAGGGTTTAGGGTTTAGGGTTTAGGGTTTAGGGTTTAGGGTTTAGGGTTTAGGGTTTAGGGTTTAGGGTTTAGGGCGTCTCGCCGCGCAGCGGCAGTAAGTACCATGTGTAAATGGCGCCCCTACACACCCAGGGGGTGTGGGGGGGCGGCATGTCACGCGAAGGCATCCGTTTTCAATGTAATCCAACAATTTCATTGGTGCTGGGTTCTTTCTCCCCACCCGCTGTGAGCTTTCACAGGCCACCACCCAAACCACTACCTTTTAGGGTTTAGGGCTGTCGCCCTCAATTCCCACCATGAAAACGATTCAAATCTCGATGAAACCAAACATTTTTGTGCAGACAAAGGACGAAGCCGGGGGGGAGGGCTACGGAGGGCCAGGCGGGCCAGGGCGGAGGGGGCAGGGGGGGGGGTTAGGGCAAGGGCATGGGGGGGGGGGGGGGGGGGTCAGGGCCCTTGTAAGTTTAAGGCACCACTTTAGTGGTCCTAAAGCAAGGCTCAGCCCCAGGGGCTGTATTCGACCATTCTCCAATGGCACCACCCATTGTCCATCCAGTAAAGGTGTCCATCACTGCCGGATATCTTCTGGGTCCAGGCACCCTAGAAAAGGGTGGGTACGGCCTAAGCAGGCCGGGTGGGAATTTAGGGTTTAGGGTTTAGGGTTTAGGGTTTAGGGTTTAGGGTTTAGGAGCCCTCCTTGGTAGCTTCGGAGCCGGACGTCTGTGCAGGAACTTCGCTCATGGATTTCACTCCGAGCCTGCTGGTTCCATGGTGGCTTCGATCCCTCTGTCGTGCCATTTTGTCGTACCCTGTGCTTGTAACATCCTAAAGTTAGGGTTTAGGGTTTAGGGTTTAGGGTTTAGGGTTTAGGGTTTAGGGTTTAGGGTTTAGGGTTTAGGGTTTAGGGTTTATAGGGTTTAGGGTTTCTAAAGCCTAAACCCTAAGCGCCGAAAGGGGCTGTGCCCGAACAATAAAGGACCGAACCAGAGTGGCTCAGTTTCTAGGAAAAGGGGGAGGGGAAACCCTAAACCCTAAACCCTAAACCCTAAACCCTAAACCCTAAACCCTAAACCCTAAACCCTAAACCCTAAACCCTAAACCCTAAACCCTAACCCGTAAACCCTAAACCCTAAACCCTAAACCCTAAACCCTAAACCCTAAACCCTAAACCCTAAACCCTAAACCCTAAACCCTAAACCCTAAACCCTAAACCCCTAAACCCTAAACCCTAAACCACGAAGTCAGGCATCCGAGCTTCAAGCCCAGCTCTCACATCACTTAAGGGCTGCGTATGTATCCATTGACATGCTTTCTAAGCCCTTCAAACCCTTAAATTCCAATCCCTAAACCCTAAACCCTAAACCCTAAACCCAAAACCCAAAACCCAAAACCCTAAACCCTAAACCCTAAACCCTAAACCCTAAACCCTAAACCCTAAACCCTAAACCCTATAAACCCTAAACCCTAAATCGGCGAAGGAACTCCTGGACTTAGCCGAGCGGGCGGAAAGACGTGGACAGCTCCACCGGCCCAAAGACCCACGGCCCCGAAGCGGCAAAATGGTTGAGGAGAGTTCAGGGTTTAGGGTTTGGGGTTTAGGGTTTAGGGTTTGGGGTTTAGGGTTTAGGGTTTCGGGTTTGGGGTTTCGGGTTTCGGGTTTGGGGTTTAGGGTTTCGGGTTTGGGGTTTAGGGTTTCGAGTTTCGGGTTTGGGGTTTAGGGTTTAGGGTTTCGGGTTTCGGGTTTGGGGTTTAGGGTTTAGGGTTTCGGGTTTGGGGTTTAGGGTTAGGGGTTTCAGGGGTTTCAGGGGTTTCAGGGGTTTGAGGGGGTTTCAGGGGTTTCAGGGGTTTCAGGGGTTTCAGGGGTTTCAGGGGTTTCAGGGGTTTCAGGGGTTTCAGGGGTTTAGGGTTTAGGGGTTTGGGGTTCAGGGTTTAGGGCTTTCAGGGTTCAGGGCTTCGGCTACCTGAATTTAATTGGGGTTTAGGGTTGAGGTTTGAGCAGTCATGAATAAGTCAGAAAACAGGCCAGGAAAAATTTTGAAATAACTCAAAAAGCCAGATGCTCTGACTTTTCCCTGACTTTTTGAAAACTGATAGTTTTCTCACTTTGTTCTGACTTTTTCTGAGCTATCTGGCCTGCCGCAAATTTGACAAGCTGACTCTGGGGGGTGACTTTTTTTGAGCTTTTACCTTCGGGATTCCCAGAACAACTAGGTAACGCGACATAAGTGTAGGGGTTCCTAAACCCCTACCTAAACCCCTAAACCCTCAACCCTGACCCTAAACCCCCCCCCCCCCCCCCGCCCTACCCTAAACCCTAAACCCTAAACCCTAAACCCTAAACCCTAAACCCTAAACCCTAAACCCTAAACCCTAAACCCTAAACCCTAAACCCTAAACCCTAAACCCTAAACCCTAAACCCTAAACCCTAAACCCTCCATATCCTCACCCGAGCCCAGGCCACGGAGCGCCACGCACCGGCGCCGGCGCTCGCCCACGAGGGATCCCCCCAGGCCTCCCAAGGATCCGAAGGTTCTCCGAAGGTTTTAGGGGTTTTACTGGTTTTAGGGGTTTTTAGGGGTTTCAGGGGTTTTTAGGGGTTTTAGGGGTTTTAGGGGTTTTTAGGGGTTTTAGGGGTTTTTAGGGGTTTTAGGGGTTTTTAGGGGTTTTAGGGGTTTCAGGGGTTTTTAGGGGGGTTTTTAGGGGTTTTACGGGTTTTAGGGGTTTTTAGGGGTTTTAGGGGTTTAGGGGTTTTAGGGGTTTTTAGGGGCTTTAGGGGTTTCAGGGGTTTTTAGGGGTTTTAGGTGTTTTAGGGGTTTTTAGGGGTTTCAGGTGTTTTTAGGGGTTTTAGGGGTTTTAGGTGTTTTTAGGGGTTTCAGGGGTTTTTAGGGGTTTTAGGGGTTTTAGGGGTTTTAGGGGTTTTTAGGGGCTTTAGGGGTTTCAGGGGTTTTTAGGGCTTTTTAGGGGTTTTAGGGGTTTCAGGGGTTTTTAGGGGTTTTAGGGGTTTTAGGGGTTGTAGGGGTTTTTAGGGTTTTAGGGGCTTTTAGGGGTTTTAGGGTTTTAGGGTTTAAGGGGTTTAGGGGATTAGGGAGGAGGGTTTGGGGTTTAGGTTTAGGGTTAGGTGTTTCGGGTGTAGGGTGGTAGGGGTGTAGGGTGTAGGGTGTAGGGGTTTAGGGGTGGGGGTTTAGGGTCTAGGGGTCTAGGGTCTAGGGTCTAGGGTCTTAGGGGTTTAGGGGTTTAGGGGTTTAGGGGTTTAGGGGTTTAGGGGTTTAGGGGTTTAGGGGTTTAGGTTTAGGGGTTTAGGGGTTTAGGGGTTTAGGGGTTTAGGGGTTTAGGGGTTTAGGGGTTTAGGGGTTTAGGGGTTTAGGGGTTGAGGGGTTCGGGGTCTAGGGTTGAGGGTGTAGGGTTTAGGGTGTAGGGTTTAGGGTTGAAGGTTCTCCGAATCTCCGAAGGTTCTCCGAAGGTTGTGGGTTTGGGTTTTAGGGGCCTTGGTTTAGGGGTTTGGGGGTTTGGGGTTTGCGGGGTTTAGGGTTCGGGGTTTTTTCGGGATTTGGGAAGTGTTTGGGCTTTGTTTTTGGGAGTTTTAAGTTTTGGGGTTTTGGGGGAGGGTTTGATTTGGGGTCAGGGTTGAGCCAAAATCCCTGAATCCCAAACCTTGAGAGCCCGGAACATTAACAT